TACATGGGGCCTAAGAGTGTTGGAATGGAGGTCTCTATGGCCGTCCTCCGGTGATACTGTCCTTACGATGTTGGCTCCAGTATTTGGTAGATGAAGGAAGACGAGACATGTAAAAGGAATCTACAAAAACAGGGGTAGCATACAAACCCCACATGAACGGTGCATTGTAATTCTTTTTGCCTTCTTTCCAGTGTCATTCATTCACCAGCCAGGTCCAATCTAAAAGCAAGTTCATTCTAAATAAAAATTGTTTAATTTTATATGTGTGGTAAAAAAAATTTTAAAACCATTTTCATTAAGTTTTTTTGGGGGGGTTCTTCATGGAAACCTGTACTGTGAGAAATGTGGAAGATGTCATTGCTAACCTGCTTCTTAAAATGCTGCTTGCCTGGCTTTTGTCTGAGTTTCTAACCGGTAACAAGAATGAAAATAAGGAGTTGCCATCAAGCCGGAACACCCTGATCTATATCTATCTATATTGCCAAATGTATTGGGCCACCGGCCTTTCCACACACATAAACTTCAATGGCCTCCCAGTCGTAGTCCGTAGGGTTCAATATTGAGTTGGCCCCGCCCTTTCCACACACATGACCTTTAATGGCCCCCCAGTCTTAGTCCGTAGGGTTCAATATTGAGTTGGCCCCGCCCTTTGCAGCTATAACAACTTCAACTCTTCTGGGAAGGCCGTCCACAAGGTTTAGGAGGGTGTCTATGGGAAGGTTGGACCATTCTTCCAGAAGCACATTTGTCAGGTCAGGCACTGATGTCGGGGGAGGAGGCCTGGCTCGCAGTCTCCGCTCTAATTCATCCCAAAGGTGTTCTATGGGGTTGAGGTCAGGACTCTGTGCAGGACAGTCAAGTTCCTCCACCCCAAACTGGCTCCTCCATGTCTTTATGGACCTTGCTTTGGGCACTGGTGCTCAGTCATGTTGGAACAGGAAGGGGACATCCCCAAACTCTTCCCACAAAGTTGGGAGCATGAAATTGTCCAAAATATCGCCTTAAGAGTTCCCTTCACTGGAACTAGGAGGCCAAGCCCAACTCCTGAAACAACCCCACACCATAACCCCTCCTCCACCAAACTTTACACTTCGCACTATGCAGTCAGGCAAGTACCATTCTCCTAGCAAACGCCAAACCCAAACACATCCTTCACAGAGAAGCGTGACTGGTCACTCCAGAGACACATGTCTCCCTGCTCTAGAGTCCAGTGGCGGCGTGCTTTACACACATGGCATCCGACGCTTTGCATTGCACTTGGTGATGCAAGGCTTGGATGCAGCTGCTCGGCCATGGAAAACCCATTCCATGAAGCTCTCTACACACTGTTGTTGGGCTCATCTGAAGGCCACACCAAGTTTGGAGGTCTATAGCTATTGACTCATCAGACAGTTGGACTTCTGCGCACTGTGTGCTTCAGCATTCGCTGACCCCGCTCTGTCATGTGACGTGGCCTACCACTTGTGTAGCTGAGTGGCTGTTGTTCCCAGTTGCTTCCACTTTGTTATAATCCCACTAACAGTTGAGCGTGGAATATTTAGTAGCCAGGAAATGTCACGGATGGACTTATTGCACAGGTGGCCACCTATCACGGGACCACGCTTGGAGTCACTGAGCTCCTGAGAGCGACCCATTCTTTCACCAATGTTTGTAGAAGCAGTCTGCATGCCTAGGGGCTTGATTGTATACACCTGTGTGCATGGAGGGGATTGGAACACCTGAATCACATGATTGGGAGGGAATGGAACACCTGAATCACATGATTGGGAGGGGATTGGAACACCTGAATCACATGATTTGGAGGGTGGACCCAATACTTTTAGCAATATAGTGTATATAATAAAACACAGTGCGCTAAAAATATATATATATCTTTTAAGCTGCCTTAACGATAAATAATGATGAAGTTCATAGATAATTATTATAAAATATGTATATAGAGAAATGTTCCAAAAGTGACAATCATGCTCTTAAGGTGCCTGCTTCAAAGGTATTACCGGTGCTTGTGCAAATGGTAATAGTAAGATTGCGCACTCACCAGATGCGCAACATAAATGTGCATATAAATACAGGCCAAAGATGTCCTTTTCCGGAGATCAGGGTAGACCAATGGTAGGTAATCCTCCCTCTGAAGGGTAAGTGGCACTCCAGATAATTCCCGGGCTTTGCGATGATCTAAGTCAGCCAGAGGTCCCCTATAGGGTTTGGTGGGTGCAGCTTCCTGTATATCCAGGAAGCCGCACCCACCAAACCCTATAGAGGACCTCTAGCTGACTTGGATCATCATAAAGCCTGGTAATTATCTGGGTATCTATTTACTCAGTTGCAAACCTCACCTTTAATATTTTACCAAAAAATGTGGGTGTTTATTTAATGTGCTTGTTTGCCCTAAAATTCCACTTTAGTGTGATCTTTACTGAATTTTGTGGTGATATCGTGACATAAAAAATTGGAACTGCCGCTATTTTATTCTCTAGGGCACGGTTGTCAAACTGGCGGCCCTCCAGCAGTGTTGTTTGCCAAAACTACAAGTCCCATGAGGCATTGCAAGATTGACAGTTACAAGCATGACTCCCAGAGGCAGAGGCAAGATGGGACTTGTAGTTTTGCAATAGAGGGCCACCAGTTTGACATCCCTGTGATGTCTGCATTTAGAAAATATATAAGTACCATTTTTTTCTTTTAATTTGCAGGAGCTTCAGGTTGTGGATGTCCAGGCGATTACGCCATTAGGCGATCCTGTTGACTCCTGCGATTTTGGGCGTCATCTATCCCAGGAGTCTTCTGGTAGCCTAATCGTCAGATCTCGCGGTATTTTTCCAGACAGGAAATGCCGCAAAAGGGAGGAGTTAAGGCACCAATGTTTTGAAGAAGAAAATCTGCGCAAGGAAGTACAGGCTCTATGATGCGCAAGAATGGGAGGGGCATGCTGACTAACCAAATGCACTTCATCCTGAAACTCTCACTGGCATGGCGCCAGTTTTAGGTGCCCACAACTAACGGATGGCCACTGCCAGCAGGATGCTTCAGGTTGTGGATGTCCAGGCGATTACGCCATTAGGAGCTCCCGTTGACTCCTGGGATTTTGGTCTTTGTCATCTGTCTCCAGGAGTCTTCTGGTAGCACTACTCATCAATCTCACGGTATTGACCAGACAGGAAATGACCGCAAAAAAGGGGAGTAATTAAGGTGCCATGTTTTGAAGAAGAAAATCTGACGAGGAGGAAGTACATTTTTTTTGTTTGGGCTCTGTGGATGTTGAGAACGGGGGGGGGGCATGCTGGGGTAACCAGTAACCCGATGCACTTCATCCTGGAAACCTCATTGGCGCTAGTATTCAGGTGCCCACAACTAAGATGCCACTGTCAGCAGGAGAAGCTTCAGGATGTGTAATATGTCCAGGCGATAACGCCATTAGGTGATCCGTTGACTCCTGGGGATCTTTGGTGTCATCTATCCCAGGAGTCTTTTGGTAGCCTAATCATCCAGATCTCACGGTATTTCCAGACAGGAAAAATGGACACGATAGGGAGGAGTAAGGCACCAATGTTTTGAAGAAGAAAATCTGACACGACGCGAGACACTAGAGTACAGGCTCTGTGATGCGAAAGAATGGGAGCAGGGGCATGCCTGGTAAACCAGATGCACTTCATCCTGGGAACTCACTGGCGCCAGTTTCAGGTGCCCAAAAACTAAGATGGCCACTGTCAGCAGGAGCTTCAGGTTTGTTGATGTCCAGGCGATTACGGCCATTAGGCGATCCCCGTTCACTTTCACTCTTCCTGGTGCCCTTGACTAAGATGGCCACTGCCAGCATTTTCAACAGGGGCCAGTAAACAGGACTTTTGGGCAAGTAAGGAAACAAATGAGAATATTGACCTTTTATCCAAAGTAAATGCAGAGCGTATAGGATCATGGGGATATAGTTGTTTGATTTTCGAAAGTTCGAGTAGGAGACTGTAGCTCCTCTTTGGCAGCATTAGTGTGTTCTATCAACTGTCACTTTTGCTGACAGGTGGGTCTGCACAAAATGTCTAGAGATACAAAAAAAAAAAAAAAAAAGTCAAAAGGAAAAAAAGGAAATTCATACACGGATGATGCCGTGTACAGTATATGTTGGGACAGCGGGGTCATTTAAATGGTCTTGGATTGTGTGTCCTGTGTGTGAGTCTGGAGCATCATTGTTCTTTGAGGAAGTGTTGGGTTGTCAGTCCCGCCCTCTCGGGAATCCCATGTGACAAGGAGTCGGTGTGCTGGGTGACAGGACACGAGGTTGCAGGAGTAAATCTCCCGGGAAGGTTAAACTGTAACTCGGGATCAAAAGCTTACACTTATCCTCATTTATTCTTTGCATCAGGGGCCGCTGTAAATAGAAAATGTCTAACAATGCAACTGTCAGTTTATTGGATTTCCCCCCCCCCCCCCTGCCAATGGTTTAATTGTAGCTGTATAGGCAGTTACAGGAGCGGTCCAGAAATGGCAGGCATGAGCTTTGAAAGGCTAGCAAGTGTATTCCTCCAAACCTGGACTCAAGGCTGGTAGAAGGTCGTGTAGCAGATCAGGACAAGTTTGTGGGATTTTATAGGTGCAAAACAATGACTAGAAATGCTTTCTTTTTGAGTTTTTTTTTTCACAATTTTATTGATGTCAACCAAAATATCCCATTTAATATAAAAACTAGTAATATCCGACTTACAATCACAAAGAGCGGGACTGTTTCACTGCGCTGTACGGATGGTACTTCCCAACATGTTTCACCCAACCTGGGCTTCTTGAGGGGGAGGAAAAAGATTATCTGCAATACAGTCTAAAATTATATTCAAAAAAATGCAAAATTAATAAAAAAATACATACAAAATATTTATATATATATAAAAAAATCATTTTTCATGCTATCAAATAAAATTATTTTATTTACATATATATATTTATATACACACATATAAAATTCATAATGGGGGAAAATATTTTGTGTTAAATCAAAGAAAAGTTACAAAAAACCCAGACCCCCGCATTCACTAAAGATCCGCTCTCCCCGGACCCCGCATTCACTATATCATCCGCTCCTCCCCGGACCCCGCATTATCACTATATCCGCTCACCCCGGACCCCACCTCCAGTCACTATATCCGTTCTCCCCGGACCCCGAATTCACTATATCCACACTCTCCCCGGACCCCGCATTCACTATATCCCGCTCTCCCCGGACCCCCATTCACTATATCCGCTCTCCCCGGAGACCCTGCATTCACTATATCCGCCCCCCTCCTCCCCTGAACTCCCGCAATCACTATATCCGCTCCTCCCTGACCCCGCATGTCACTATATCCGCTCTCCCCGGACCCCGCATTCACTATATCCGCCTCTCCCCGGACCCCGCATTCACTATATCCTGTCTCCCCGGAACCTCCGAATTCACTATATCCAATCCACTCTCCCCGGACCCCGCATCCACTATATCCGCTCTCCCGGACCCCGCATTCACTATATCCGCTCTCCTCCCGGAAATCCCCGCATTTCACTATATATCACGTCTCTCCCGGACCCCGCATTCACTATATCCGGTCTCCCCGGACCCCGCATTCACTATATCCGCTCTCCTCCCCGGACCCCGCATTCACTATAATCGCGGTCTCCACCGGACCCCGCATATCAACTATATCCATCCGGTCCTCCCCGGACCCCGCATTCCACTAATATCCGCTCTCACCCGGACCCCCCTGCATTCCCCCACTATATCCGGTCCCTCCCACCGGAAACCCCGTATTCACCTATATCCACTCTCCCCGGACCCCGCATTAGCACTATATCCGACTCTCCCGGACCCCGCAATTCACTAATCCATCCCGCTCTCGCCTCGGTACCCCGCATTCACAATATATCCTGTCTCCCTCACCCGGACCCCGCATTCACTATATCCGGTCTCTCCCGGACCCCGCATTCACTATATCCTGCTCTCCTCCGTCCCCGGACTCCCGCATTCACTCAATATCCGGTCCCCCCCCCCTCCCCTGAGCCCCGCATTCACTATATCCGGTCTCGGCCCGTGAACCCCCCGCATTCACTCTATCCGCTCTCCCCGGACCCCGCATTTCACTATAACCGCTCTCCCCGGAACCTGCATTCACTATATCCGGCTTCTCCCGCATTTCACATATACCTCCGCTCTCGACCATGGACCCAGCATTTCACTATATCCCTCTCCCTGGACCCCGCATTTCACTAATATCCTACTCTCCCCGGACCCTGCATTCACTATATCGCCGCTCTCCCGGGACCAGGACCCCGCATCTCACTAATATCCAAATCTCCACGGCAACCCTGCCATTCACTATATCCGCTCTCCCGGACCCCGCATTCACTATATCTATGCTCTCCCCGGACCCCGCATTCACTATATCCACTGTCTCCACCCACGGACCCTCGCATTCACTATATCCGCTCTCTCCCCGGACCCCCGCATTCACTATATCCACTCTCCCCGAACCTCCGCATTCACTATATCCGAGCTCTCCCCGGACCCCGCATTTACTATATCTGCTCTCCCCGGACCTCCGCATTCACTATATCCGCTCTCCCCGGACCCCGCATTCACTATATCCGCTCTCCCCAGGACCTACCGGAATTCACTATATCTTGTCTCCCATGACCCCCATTCACTATATCTGATTCTCCCCAGACCCCGCATTCACTATATCCGCTCTCCCTGGTGGACCCTGCATTCACTATATCCGCTCTCCCGGACCCCCGCATTATCAACTAATAACCGGTCTCCTCCCGGGACCCCGCATTCACTATATCTTGTCTCCACAGACCCTCCATTCACATAGCCCCGGTCTCCCCGGACCCCGCATTCACTATATCCGCTCTCCCCCGGACCCCGAATTCACTATATCTTGTCTCATGACCCCACAATTCACTATATTCGCTCTCTGCCCTGACCCCGCATTCACTATATCAGACCGCATCTCCCCGGACTCCCGCATTCACTAATATCTCGCTCTCCCCGGACCCCGCATTCACTATATCCGCTCTCCCCCCGGACACCGCATTCACTATATCCGCTCTCACCCCTCCCCGGACCCGCATCACTAATATCTCCGCTCTCCCCGGACCCAGCATTCACTATATCCACTTCTCCCTGGACCCCAAATTCCACTATATCATGTCTCAACGGACCTAGCATTCCTATATACAGCTCACCCTGGACCCCAAATTCACTATATCTTTGTCTCCCACGGGGACCCTGCTATTCACTTATATCCTGCTCTCCCCGGACCCCGCATTCCACTAATCTTCTCTCCCTTCCCCAAACCCCGCATTCACTATATCCGCTCTCCCCCCCGGAACCCCGCATTACACTATAATCCGCTCTCTCCCGGACCCCGCATTCACTATATAACCGCTCTTCCCCGGACCCCGCATTCACTATAATCCCCTCTCCCCGGACCCCGCATTTCACTATATATCCGCTCTCCCCGGACCCCCGCATTCACTATATCACGCTCTCCCTCGGACTCCCCTGAATTCACTATATCTTGTCTCCATGGACCCCGCATGATCCCACTATATCTGCTCCCCGGGGTTCCCCGACCCCCGCAATTCACACTATATCCGCTCTCCCCGGAACCCGCATTCACTATATCCGACGCTCCCCGGACCCCGCAATTCACTATATCCCGCTCTCCGTCCCGGACCCCGCATTCAACTAATCCCTCTCCCCCAGGACCCCGCATTCACTATATCCGCTCTCCCAGGTACCCCGCATTCACTATATCCGTCTCTCCCCGGATAATCCCCGCCGAATCTCACTATATCCGCTCACTCCCGGGGGGGGGACGGCACCCCGCATTCACATATCCGCTCTCCCCTCACCCGGAGACCCCGCATCTCACTATAATCCGCTCTCCCCGGACCCCGCATCAATCACTATATCCGCCTCTCCCCCGGGACTCCCGCATTTACTATATCACCGCTCTCCATCCCGGACCCCGCAATTCCTATATTCAGCCTCCGCTCCGACACGGACCCCGGCATTCACTATATCCGTCTCTCTCCCCTGACCCCGCATTTACACTATACCACTCATCCACTGAACCCCTGCATTCACTATATCCGCTCTCTCCCCGGAACCCTGCATTCACTATATCTATCTCCTCGGACTCCCGCATTCACTCTAATTCCCGCTCTCCCTCCCGGACCCTGCCATTCACTAATATCCTGCTAATCCATCCCGGGAACCCCGCAAATCTCACTATATCCACTCTCACCGCCCCTCTGGAGACCCCGCATTCACTATATCCAATCTCCCCCATCCCAGGCATCACTATAATCCGCCTCTCCCCGGGAACCCCGCATTCACTATATCGTTGGTCTCCACGGACCCCTCCATTCACTAATCCGCCGTCTCCCCGGACCCCGCATTCACTACTATCCGCTCTCCCCGGACCCCCGCATTCACTATCCACTCTCCCCGGACCCTCCCTCTCACTATTATAATCCTGGCTTCATCCCAGGACCCCCGCATTCCCGCTATATCCCGCTCTCCCCGGACACCCCGCATTCACTATATTCCCTCCTCTCCCCAAACCCGCATTCACTATAAATCCGCTCATCGCCTCCCGCGGACCCCCCCCATTCACTATATCCTCTCTTTCCCTGGACCCTGCCATTCACTATATCTCTGCTCTCCCTCCCCCGGACCCCCGCATTCACTAATATCCGGTCTCCCACATTCACAAATCCGCTCTCCCTGGTCCCTGCATTTCACTGCCACCCCTTCCGCATTGCCCGACCCCTCATTCACTATATCCTGTCTCCCTGACCCCGCAATTCCACTATATCCGGTCCTCCAGCATGACCCTCCAATTACACTATATCCGGTCTCCCCTGGACCTCACCCGCATTCACTATATCCGCTCTCCCCCCCCGGACCCCGCAATTTCCATATATCTTGTCTCCTGACCCCCCCTCACATTCACTATATTCGCTCTCTCCCGAAACCCCATCCTCAATTCACTAAACCTCCCTCGTCCCCCGGACCCCCGCATGTCACTATAATCTCATCTCTCTCCCCGGACCTCCCGCATTCACTATATCCGGGCGATCCTCACCCCGTGACACCGTACAATCACTATATCCGCTCATCACCCCCAACCCCCGCGAATTCACTATTCCGAATCCGGCTCTCCCCGGACCCAGCATTCACTATATCCGCTCATCCCCCCGACCCGCATTCAGCTTTATTCCGCTCTCCCCCAGGTCTCCCGGGCACCCGGATCACTATATCCCCGCTCTCCCCCGCTCTTCACCCCCCATCATTCCACTATATCCGCTCTCACCCCCGGACCGCCAAATTCCACTATATATGTCTCCACGGACCCCGCATTCATCATATCAGCTTTCCCCCCCGTACCCCGCATCACTATATCCGCTCTCCACCCGGGATCTATCCTGCATTCCATCTATATCCCGCGCTCTCGTCCCGAACGACACTATATCTTGTCTCCCCGGAGACCCCGCTCGCCACTATATCCGCTCAACCCCTCGGACCCCGCATGTCACTATATCTGCTCTCCCCGGGTCCTCCGCATGAAGGGGTCACTATAATTCCTGCTTCTCCCCGGACTACTCGCATTCACTATATCCATCCGACTCCCCCGGACCTCTGGCATTCACTCCATCCGCTCTCGCACCCGGAGACTCCATTCAACTATAACCGCTCTCTCCCGGACCCGCATATCACTATATCCGCTCTCCCCGGACCCCGCATTCACTATATCCGCTCTCCCCCGAACCCCGCATTCACTATATCCCGCTCTCCCCGGAGAACCCCAAATTCACTAATAAACTTGTCTCCACGGACCCCGCATTCACTATATCAGCTTTCCCAGTGACCCCGCATTCACTTATATCCCCGCATCTCCCCGGACCCCGCATTCACTATATCTGCTCATCCCGAACTCACTATATCTTGTCTCCCCCGGACCCCGCATTCACTATATCCGCTCTCCCCCGGACCCCGCACTCTCACTATATCCGCTCTCCGGGTCCCCCCCGGTAACTGACCCCGCATTCACTATATCCCGCTCTCTCCCCGGACCCCGCATTCACTATATCCGCTCTCCCCGGACCCCGCATTCACTATATCCGCTCTCCCCCAGACCCCGCATCTCACTATATCTCGCTCTCTCCCCAGACCCCGCATATCACTATATCCGCTCTCCCCCGGACCCCGAATTCACTAACTTGTCTCCACAGACCCCGCATTCACTATATCCGCTCTCCCCGTCCCCGCATTCACTATATCCTATCCGCTCTCACCCAGACCCCGCATTCACTATATACACGCTCTCCCCGGACCCTGCATCACTATAACTGCTCTCCCCGGTACCCCGCATTTACTATATCCGCTCTCCCCGGACCCCGTATTTCACTATATCCGCTCCCATCCCCCGGGACCCCGCATTCACTATAAATCCGCTCTCCCCCGGAAACCCCGAATTCCACTATATCTTGTCTCCACGGACCCCTCCATTCACTATATCCGGTCTCCCCCGGGCCCTGCATTCACTATATCCGCTCTCCCCCGGACCCCGCATTCTTCACTATATCCGCTCTCCCCCCGGACTCCCGCATTCACTATATCCTCTCTCCCCGGACCCCGCATTCACTATATCCGCTCTCCCCCCCCGTAACCTGCAATTCACACTATATCCGCATTCTCCCGCATTCACTATATCCGCTCTCCCTGGACCCCTCATTCACTATATCCGCTCTCCCCCGGGACGCCCGCATTCACTATATATCCTGCTCTCCCCGGACCCTGCAATCACTATATCCGCTCTCCTCCCCGGACCCCGCATTCACTATATCCAATCTCCCCGGCTCCCCGGCACCCTGCATATCACTACATCCCTCTCCCCGGGACCCCGCATTCACTATATCTGGTCTCCCGTCA